CCACTGTGTGACACAGAGTGTTGGCCCGGATGGGCCACTGGCCTGATCCAACACTGGCTTCTCTTATGTTCTTACGTCCTTATGTCTTTCACATCATCTATCACTTGCTGGTAGATGATGGTCCTTTTAACTGGAGATGCCGGGGATTGAACCTGGGACCTTCTGCAGGCCAAAGCAGATGCTCTTCCGCTGAACCACAGACTCCTCCCCATTGGGTCTCTGCCAGTGCACCCTCTAAGCCGTGGAGTCTCATGAGTAAAAATTCTACTTTGTGAGCTACCGGCATTAAAGTTGTGAGTGAGCAGTTTGGCCGCTGCGTAAATTAGTTTGCTCTGGAGCCCTCCTTCCTGGGCGAAGGCAGAAACGTGTGAGCCGGAGGCTAAAAGCTGGCTCACGCTCACTCAGCTTAGAGGGAACACTGGCCTCGGCTGCTTCTACGGTAGTGGGAGGACTCCTTTCAGCAGCATGAAGGGGGAGGCCTGTGGCCCTGGGCAGTTGTACCACAGGACCTTTTTTACATGCCCAGGGAAATGCTGATTGCCACTTTGGGGTCAGGAAGCCATCCCGGAGGTTTTTTGTCATCTACTGGGCCTGGAACAGGGGTCACTGGCGTGGAAGGGGAGGTTTCTGTGAATTTTCTGCATTGTCCAGGGGGTTGGACGAGATGACCCCGGAGGGTCTTTTCCAACTATGATTTTAGGAACCACCGATGTTTATTGGCAGGGTTGCCACTTTCTGGAAAGTCAGGGAAATGAAAATTGGTCAGGGAAATCGTGATTAAAATATATTCAGGCCGTGGGTTTTTGACCTGCCTGCTGCAAGAGCCCGATCTGTTCTTGTGGCAACTGGAATAGAGAAGTTGTTGTTGTTGTTCAGTCACACAGTTGAGTCCGACTCTTCGCGACCCCATGGACTAGATCCCGCCAGGCCCTCCTGTCTTCCGCCGTCCTCTGAAGTTGGCTCAACTTCATGTTCGTTGCATCTATGACACTGTCTCACCATCTCATCCTTTGCCGTCCCCGTCTTCTTTGACCTTCAG